CCTCCCACGGCCCGACAAATGAACATCTTCGAGTTTCGGTACTTGCCTGGTACTCGAAATTCTTCCTGGTGAGGGCTAAAGTAGGTTGGAACATCATAAACTTTGGTCGGGCATGTCCTGCTACAGGAGGCTTTTGGGTGAATGTTAAAAGATTGTCCGCAAATGCTCAAACGCATAGTCAACACACAGCAGGCAAATTGCCCCCAGACTTGTTGTCTGACTGCTTTTGGCATATGACTCCTGTAGGGGGACATGCCCGCCTTAACGATAAGCAGAAAAAAGGCGGGATGACGGAAACGAAAGAAGAGGATGGAGATGCTCGCCCTGCTGTCCTCACTCGCCCCGACGTCGTGACCAACCACAGGGCGGAGAAACGCTGATGGCCAGCGATCCCGGCCAGTGCTTATGCGGACTTGATGTCGAGACGGATCGCTCGAACCCCAGGACCCGAAACAAGGACGAAACGGCTGCGGTGATGCTCCAAGAGGCCAGGATGCTAACGCTCCTTCTTCCGTGACTCTGAATTTTTGATAAGCGCTGGGGGGGCGTCACCCCCGCCGACAGCCCCACATCGAACCCCGCCGCGGGCATCCATTGAGCGCCGCAGGCGCTCCGCCCCCGTCGGATCGCGACGACGAAGCGAGGTTGACCCCCTGTCGGGGAGTACCACCCCACGCGTATTAAGAAAACCAGACTATGGTCCTGCCTGCTGCCGGTGAGCATGCTGCCGACCCCCTCCCTGGTCGAGACCGCCGGGTATGCTGGCAACGCTCTCTCTGCGCAGGACGGCGCGCGGGAGCCCCTGGGACGGCGCCTTCTTCATGGCGCGCGTCCCCCTGGTGGCGGCGAGCGGGGAGGAGGACGTAGCAGGAGAGGAGGAGGAGAGATCGAGGAAGTGGGAGGAGAGGAGGAGAGGGAAGTGGGATGAGAGGAGGAGGAGGAGGAGGAGGAGGAGGAGGAGGAGGAGGAGGAGGTGAGATGAGAGGTGCGGAGAGGAGAGGAGAGGAGAGGAGAAGAGAAGAGAAGAGAAGCGATGAGATGAGATGAGAGCAGACCGAAAGGCGAGCGAGTGCGTCGACCGCGCCCGCCGCCCTCAGCCGCCCGCGGAGCGCCCGCGGGCGAAGCGGCGCGCAAGGCGCGGCGCTGGGCCGAGGGCCCCCGCCGACAGGGTGACGCGGTGGGTTCGACCCTCAGCCCGCGGTGGGGCGCCACGGCCAGCGGCCTGGCCAACGGCCCGCCACACGGGCCCCATGGCCTGGCCGCCTCAGCCGCGGTGCCCGCGGCGGACGGTCGGCGATCCTGGGGGGCTCTTCGGGGTCTTGGGTGCCTCCGGGGGGGTGCCTCTTGGGGCCGCTTGGGGTCTTCTTGGGCTTGGGGGCCTCCTGGGGGCCTCTTCGGGGCCTCTTGGGGCCATCTTGGGGCCATGTTGGGACCATCCTGGGGCCTCCTGGGCGCTTCTTGGGGCCATCTTGGAGGAGATCGGTCAACGAAGGGGGGTTCCTTAATTACCCCCCCCCCCCCCCCAGGAGGCCAAAATGGAGCCAAAATCCTAGTAAAATCAATGATCTTGGAGGACGAGGAGGAGGAGGTCGAAGAGGAGGAGGAGGTATGGTGGTGGTGGTGGAAAACAGGCACCCCTCGGGGGCGGGCAAACATGGACTAGCGATCCATGGATTTGGCGCGCGGCCGCCAAATCCATGGATCGGGGGAGGTGCCCTCCCCAAAACGCGGCCGGTGCCAGCTCGCTCGTCGGCGGAAATCCGCGACTTCCCACGGAAACGGGACCCGTCGCTAATCCACGCCCCCTTGACCCACGCTTGCCATCGCCTGGGCCCCGGCGGCAGGAAGAAGCTCTGGGGGCTCGGATTCTGCAGCTCCTCCGAGGCCCAGTCGGCGAGGCGTCGGAGGCGCCGCCCCGAGCCAGGCCGCCGCCACGCGGCGCGGACCTCCTGCGGAGCCACCGGCCGCGGGCAGAGCTCCAGCGGAGGGGAGCCGCAGCGGCTGGAGGAGAGCGACGTAAGGCTCCGGCGCGGCGTCGGGGATCTCCTGGCCCGGGTCAATCCAGACCCGGGTCAGTCAGGCCTGCAAGACCCTGCAAGATCCTGCACCCAAGCCCGGGCCAACGCGAAGGATCCTGCAAGATCCTGCAGGATCCTGCACCCAAGCCCGGGTCAGTGCACCCCTGGCTCTGCAGGATCCTGCAAGGCGCCCTGGCTGACCCCCGTTTGCATTGACCCCCGTCTCGAGGCTCCAGACGGGGGCCTCGGGTTGGCCTGCCGGGGCAATCATGAAAATGACGAGGCCCAATCTGAAATTTGACGCGAACTCCCGCTGCAGACAACCCCCGAAAACTGCACGTCAAAAACCTGGGCCGGGTTCGTCCAGAAGCGTTGGCAAACCCGAGCTCCGGCTTACTCGAGTCTTACGTTTCCCCGATTGGAGGAGGGTCTCCAGAACTCTGGGGGCGTCCAAGAGAGGGGCGTCCAAGAGGGGGGGGGACAAATCATGGCCAGCGACGCGTGCGCGGTCCAAGGGAGGGGGCTGGGGACGTAGTGAAATAAGAGGAGGCGCCATGAAATCTGAGGAGATATCATGACCTTCGCAATGATATCCACACACCCCTGTCATCACCCCCCTCTTTGCCGCCCCCGAGAAGTCTCGACCCCTTCCCTAGGACCGGTTCTGTTCCTCCCGAATATAAATTTGGTTGGCGGTCCTGCTGCCCAGCGAGGGCCCGCTTTGTTTGTTCCATGCGCTGGGACCTGGGGTGGAAGGAGGCCACGGCGATTGGAGGAGTAGAATCCAGAAGTCCGTATGAAAGGACGAGCGTCCAAACCCAACAAAACGAGTTGACGGGAGGCTAATCCGAGGACGCGTCCCCTCGATGGGGTACGCGCATAGGCGCAGCGGTTAGAGGGAGAAGAGTAACAAGGAGGGGGCGAAGGCGAGAGCTTTGGGAGTGGGCCAGCACCTCCTTGGAGGCGCACAGAGGCGCACTTGCACTATGCGTTCTCCTTGGAAGCACGCGTCCGACCCGATCATTTAGTATACCAATCTTGTACTACAACGCTTCCCGAGCGGTGTGGCCAGAAAGCGCCCGCCACGACGCATGTACTACAAGACTTCTCGGTGCGCGCGTCGCCGCGAAGCAGTGGAAGGAGCAGGCAGAGGGAAATATAGTGGAGGCGAGTCCACAAGAGACATTCCACAAGAAGCCCAGCCCTGAGACCCCAGGACGTCCTTTGGTTGTTTGGTGTGGGAGCGTCACGCTTTCCATCGCAAGACCATCGAAACCCAAGAAGCGCAGGGCACCGTGGAGGCAGGTGAGGTGCTTCTTGGCAAGGGTCGCCACTGCAGTGGACACGCAGCAGGAGGAGCAACAAGGACGAGCGGCTTGCCAGGGTGAAACAGCGTGCGAGACACGTTCAAGGGGCCCAGGGACACACGAATAAATACACACAAATCCAAGGATTCCCCATACTTTTCATATTTTCTGGGTTTTCGTCTTCCCCCCCACTTCCCAGAATTTCGAATATTTTCTGGGGAATCTACGATTCATTTTGTGTGTGTGTTTCTCCCCTCCTGACACTTGGCCGCCCCTGTCCCCCCTTCCCCCTCCCCTGGGGTTCAGAGTCCTACTATTAGAGGGAGACGGGCGAGGGAGGAGGGACCCACTAGATCGTCGACGCACAACCCAGGGCCCTCGGAGTCCCAACCGCAAGTCCGACACGCAAATCCTCTTCCTCCTCCTCCTCCTCCTCGTTCTCCTCCTCCTCCTCCTACTCTTCCTCCTCCTCCTCCTCCTCCTCCTCCTCCTCCTCCTCCTCCTCCTCCTCCTCCTCCTCCTCCTCCTCCTCCCCCTCCTCCCTCCTCCCTCCTCCCTCCTCCCTCCTCCCTCCGCCTCCGTGGCCGCCAGGATGCCCCGAAGGCCTTTCCATATGGCCCTACAAGGGCTCCAGCACGCCGGAGAGGCCTCAAGACCACCCGTGATGGCCTCAAAACGGCCCAAGGTGCCCGAGGAGGGCACCGAGAGGATCCCCCAACAGGGCTGCAGGATGCATCAATGAGTTATGCTCTACATGTTCAGAGGCCTCCGAGATTGGGTCGGAGGGGATGGGGGTCGGGGGATCGCGCCGCATCGCCGATACATCGGCGACGTCAGCGTGAAGCAAATCGGGCCCCACATCGAGCCGCATCGGCGATGCATCGGCGGTGCGGCGCGATCCTCCGACCCCATCTACTCTGACCCCATCTAGGAGGCCTAGCATGTGAACTCCCGCGCTTGCTGTGTTGTCGCTTGTTCGGTGTTCTGGAAATCCCAAACGACCGCGAGAAACCCCCCAGACCGGCCAAAGACGGCCCAAGAGGCCCTCCTTGAGGGCCCGGTGGCGGCCCAAGTGGGCCTTCAGACGGCCCAAGAGGCCCCCAAAAGGACGGCCAGAAAGGCTCTCGAGGGTCCCAGAGGACCCCAAGGTCCCTTCCTACAACATGGTCACCAAGACCCCCAACATGCCCCCCCAAGAAACCCAGGGGGGTCCTAAAAGCTCCCAAGAGACCCGAACACTCTCCCAAAGGCCGCCCCCCTAGACCTCGAAGAGTCCTCCAAGAAGCCCCGCAACAGACGCGGAGGAACAGGAGGCCGAATCATCAGCAACTACACGCAGGCAACAAAACGCACACGACATCAGAAGCCACACATCTACTCTTCTGGGGTCGGCGGAAGCCTCTTGAGTAACGAAGGGCAAAGGGAGGACGCGAAGGATGACAAGTAAGTAGAAAGAGGGAGAAGGGGCAGGGGAGAAAGAGGAGGAAGGGCGGAGCAGAGGAGGAGGAGGAGGAGGAGAAGGAGGAACATGAGGAGGGGGGAAGAAGCGGATTATTGCACTATGGCTCCCTCAGCGTCGCGTGCCGCTTTGGACCGTTCCAACCCTGGATCGCCGTGGAGCGCGTCGCTTCTTGCCGCTCGCCGACAAAGACAATCACGTTAGGCTTATGACGCGTCGTATCCCTGCTCGACTGGATATGTTGACGCTCCTGACTCTTCAATTGTTGACGAACTGCTCTGGCCTCCTCTTGTACCCAGTTCGAAATGTGCAGGCAAGACGAACGTCGAATTCGAGCGCTAACATTTGCGGCTCGTTTCGAAACGAACGCATGCTTGAGACAACGAGCTGATTGAACTCGGACTCGAATTCACAAAGCGAGAATACCAATGGCCAATGATGATGACACTGCTGATGAGTACAAAAGCTAAATAGGAGGAGGGCGTACGCAAACATCTGATGTCGTGAAAACAACTGGGTGCGTCTCGCCGCATAGATCCGAGAGGATCCCGCGACCAGACGCAATGCGTCACTGCCCATCGCGCCCGTTCCGCGACGCCAGGATGACACGGGGGGTGCAGGGGTCCCACCTGACAACGTGAGGCAACATGTTGGAGTTTCTCCTCTTGATGTTGCCGAGCGTCGCCCTGAATCGCTCCTGCAAGGCGGTGGCCAAAAAAGCAATGGTACAAGCAATGGTACAATACGATGACGGAAACCAGCATGAAAAGGAAACGGAAGAAACGGGATGGGGAGGAGGCGAGGGGGGAGAAAGAAAACAAGGAGGAGGGGGGAAGCGAGGGGAAATATGAATAAACGACCCGGAAAATGCAATATCGATGAGGAGGAAGACGACGACGGGCAGAGGAGGGGAAGGAAGAGAGGATGCGTCGGAGGAGGAGGCCAAGGAATGGAGGGATGAGGAAGGCATGAGGAGGACGATGAGGATGAGGATGAGGCATGAGATGGAAAAGGGGACAGCGGAGGATGAGGATAATGAGAACGGACGACGACGACGACGACGACGACGACGACGACGACGACGACGGACGACGACGAACGACGACGAGCAAAGGAAGAGGACGAGGGAAGGGGGGGGGAGGGGCAGACGGCGGCCAGGGGAGAAGACCGGCGGGAGGGGCGGAGGGAGGGCCGAGCAGGAGAAGGAAACTGCGTGGCGCCAGAAGACAGCCCGAGGCACAGGCAGAGGCCAGTCCTCCTCCTGCTCCTCCTCCTCCTCCTCCTCCTGCTCCCCCTCTTCCTCCTCCTCCTCCTCCTCCTCCTCCTCCACCTCCTCCTCTCCTCCTCCTCCTCCTCCTCCTCCTCCTCCTCCTCCTCCTCCTCCTCCTGCACCACATCCCAAGGCGGACAGAGGAGGTGACCCCCTGCTCCTTAGAAGGCGACGGCGGGTGTGAGGAACCTCCCTTGACCCCCGAGGCTCACCTCTTCAGCGGACACCCGCGGGGCCTCATCTTCCACGAGGAGACAGAAAGAGGGGTTCAGCCCTAAGACCGTGTTCGAGGGCCCTCCCTTCCGTCGCTGGCTCACCGACCACGAACCCAGCGGCAGTCGTGGGCCACCAAAACGGGGACAGGAAGAGGAGGGCTCGCGAACCCTCCCAGCCGAGTCGGGCAATGGCTTTACCGTTTTCGGCAAAATGCCTGCAGCCAATATTTTCAGACTTGCCTTGCATTCCTTTGAAAGGCGTCGTTCGCACGGATCAGAAAACCGCGCGAACCTAGCGACCCTTGGGCCGCACACTTTCTGCAGAACGACTGCCCATTTATATTACTCGAGCGCATGCGAGAAATGGATTTGAAAAGGCTGGCGCTGACACTCTGTGCTCCATAAGGCAAGAAATCCCGCTTTGCTGCAGGTTCTGAGAATAACCAAATATTTTAAACCCCGCGTGTTTGTTTCGAGAGCGTGGCTCGCGGTTCGAAGGGATTCCTCTCTGCTTCGGCCCTGTTCTAGGCCGCGTTGCCGAGCTCGGGCCAACATATCCGCTTGTAAAGTGGCTCCATACAAATATGTCGTTTGCCTTTACCTCTTCGGTGCCAATGCATATGAATCGTTTCTGGACCAGCCAAGCTAAGTTGTCAGCTTCACGGACTTAGAAACACGGGAATAAGGAGGTGCCGCCTCCTCAGCCGCCAGGTAGGCCAGCCGGTCCGCCTGTCGGTTGGCAAACCAGTGGGGCGCGCCTATGGAAATACCAACATCTGTGGGCTCGGGAGGCCTGCCAAAACTCACTCCAGACATCTGCATTGGAATGGTGGATCGCATCTGGACACTTCCTGATCCCTCGGGTTACATAGCTGGCATCAATCACTACTCATGCGTCGCCTTCAGTATTTTGTTGGGAACGCGTGGCTGCAATCATTTCGGCCCGAGGGGCTGTCGAACAAAAAAGCCAACCAAGCTGCCTCTCAAGGGTGCCCCGAACCTTCCTTCGACGCAGACGACGAACGACCCGAACGACCACCCCACTCTTCGCAGCAGGGCATCCCTAGAATGCCCCCCGCCAGACCCGTCTGTGCCTATGACGGCGTCGGCAGGGACGGGAAAAAAGACACCATGGGCGGGCCACTTGCGGTCAGCGCTTGTTTCCTCCGCGGGAGGAGGCAGATCCGCTCTCGCCGCAGTCCGCAAAACTGGAACCAGGCCCCGAAGGCCAAACACATGGGTAGATTACAACTCCTGTCGTCGCCTGCTCGCATAGATAGGCGTCGCTCTCATCTAGGCCTGGTGCATCTGTATTACAGGGGCACTCCCAGAACTGGCGGGCAAGGGATTCCTCTGCAATGTTACATCGCGGGCAGACCGGGCCCCCTAATTTCGTGCTTTCAAGACGTCTCTTCGCGGGCCGCAAGGCCCCTTAGCTGATTGTCACTAAAACTGCCGCCCGATTGCTTATACCTTGATTGCGTGAGCTCGAAGTGGGCCCAAGTCACAGCCAGGTCAACTCCGAGCCCAGCCCCCGGACCCTCAACATGTTCACTGGCGCGGGCCCGCATGTCCTGTCCCAAGGAAGGCACCACCTCGAATCCGCAAACACCCGGCCCGTCTGGACCCTCGAAATTGATGGTTGCTCCACAAAAGTATGGCCCATTCCACTGGCGAGCTCGGGATCCACTTCGCGTCGGGAAGCGTTGCCTGGACTGCTGCAAGGTGCCCATCGCACATGCTGCCGGCGGTTCTCAACCGACAGCGGCTTCTGCGGGGGCTCCTGCCACGCTACGTTGGTCGCCTTGTGCCAGGCTTCCACCATGAGGAGGTGTTCCTACTGGGCTAAGGGGGGCTCTAGCGGGCCCCAAAAAAGGGGGTCGCCGTTTCGACCCAGACTGATCACGATGGCCGCGGCGGCACAGCCCCCAGCCCATTTGCGGGCACACACGGTTGAAACCTGGGCCCGAAGCTTTTGCAAAGTAGTGGGCGCTAGGCCCGTGGCCACGGCTCCCCAAGGCACCTGCGGTTCACGCCCCGCGCTTGCACTCTTCCCGGCCCCCATTGGACAACTGACGCAAGAACTGAATCACTCACGCCCCCTTGGAAACATTGCGCTGTCTGGCCCTGACTACTCCTTGCGTCCTCGCGCCGCCAATTACCTCGATGCCGAGGTCCCTGGCTCTGATGCCTACTTTGACTCAGAAGCGGAATTCGGCGATTTCGGCCTTGCGGGCATTCCTGAGCCCAAGGGCGCTGGCAAGCTCAACGGACTTCTTGGAGATATTGAACCCACGAGCTACCATGGCACGTACGATGGTGGCTTCTACGTCAGCCTGCTGCAATGCGCGTTGAAAGCTGCCGATGTTAAGCTGCGCCAGGTCGCCCGCCAGGCTGTTAATCTGGCTCGATGGCGGCGGGCGTCGATTGCGAATGTGCCTGGGCATGTTCCGCGCATGCACTCATGACCATGCAGCGCTCTGCGCGGGCCCCGCGATTATTGACACCTGCGGTTGCACGCCGTCTGACACTGACAGAATTCGGCTCTCCGCGAGCCAGCGACCTGCTACATGTTGAAACAGTGCGAGATAGAAAGGCACGGGCGGGCACTGAATAGCTTGAGCCAAACTCGCCACCGAGTCGGGCTGGATGGAATCGTAAAACTTTGTCCGCGGTGACCTGCCGCAAGCTGGCCCAGAGCTGGGCCTTCGTTTGCATGATCAACAGCGGTTCGACCGCCTTGAGCCCATCTGGGCCTGTCTCTATCCCCAGGGGCGCTTCTGGCTGTTCCTAGGCCCCGGTAAACCCGCGGGCCCAACTGCCCCCCTGCTTGAGGCTCTGCTACAAGAACTTCTGGAAGCCCCCTTGATTCCCCCACATGGCTGTGGGACTTACTTTGGCTAAGACTTCTCTGGGCTCGTCTAAGAGATCTCGCAGTTCCCCCGGGTCGGCTGGGAGCTCGTGGAGCACGGCCAACAGTTCTTGATAACTCATTCTGGCCGCCTGCGGCACATTGACGATGGCGGCCTCAACTTCTGGGCCCTGCGCCCAGCTCAGCAACTGTTCGAGGATCGCCTTCCCCAGGTGTTCCTCCGCCTGCTCCTTCCTCCACTTCGCGATGACGAACAGCTCCTGGATCCTGGATCGGATTTCACTCGAGAGGTCGACGTCCTGGGAGATGCTGAAGAGTCCTGGTGGCTTTCCCTCGAGAAGGTTCGTCTCGTGCTCGTTGGGGCATGCACCTCGTATTTGGTCCCCCGGGGGTTTGCCTGCTCTACAGAGGAGAAGGCTTTCTGCTTTCATCGGAAAAACGCACGCACTTCTCGCTCAGCGCGGCGCTTGTGGCCTCGCTCCGAATCGAGAGCTCCCCTGAGGGGGCGAGCTCAGCGTTGCTCTGCCCATGAGGTTCCCATGGTAGATCAGGCCCATGGGTTCCGGGAAATATCGGGACGGCGCCATCAGAGTGATGAATTTGGCGATCTCTTCCGACAATGCTGCGTAACCCAGCGCTGGTCAAAGCCGCTTCGCCATGTGCATTGAGCGCCACTGGTGCAAGATGGCCAACCAGGATCCCAGAGCTGCTGAAGTGTCATACTCCAGTCTCCCATGACCACAAAGCATTTGCAATGTGTGCACAGGCACTCCTGCCAACTCTGACAGGATCAGCGTGTGCGCCCCAACCAAGCCTTCACTGTCACCGAGATGCACTGACACAAACGTGATGTCCAGACGCCTCGTTCGAAATGCTCGGGCAACCCATTGTGTCCCATAGTGTTGGACCTGTTCAATCGCGTCCACTCTGCGCGGTGGCGAATATATCTGACTGTTACATAGCGCCCACGCACCACCAAGTCCCAATGTTCCATCTGCTGCCGTCGGCGCTGCTGGGCTGGATGTCGACTCCCAACCCGATCGCTGCAACTTCTTCTGTGCTTCCAATAACCAGGCATCGCGAAGGTGAGTCTCCACTCCAATATGAATGTCGATGTCGGACATGCGTGGTTTCTGTATGCACTTGAGATCATATGCTGTAAATTTGGCGTAGCTCGCCGCGTAGATCTGCATCGCGACTGGGTTCTTTGTGCAATCGGACTGAACAAATGTCTGCCCGTGGCTAGTCATACCGTCGTCGCCACTCACATTGCAAAAATCATTCGGGTTCGTTATGCGGCACTGATCGCAGGTGGTCGGGCCCAACGAGCACTTCTGGTT